GTTCGACACATTTCAATGCTTTGGAGCTCTGATTCCTTGGACAGTTCTCTCCAAAGCCTGGAGTTACTATGTCAACTCTGGAGTTTATTGATGGACACTCACTTGGACTGGGGGGGTGAGAAGTGGGTGGGGTGGGAGGGAGCAGAGTAACTGGTGTTGTGGACCAAACACGCTGCCAGGGGGGGTGGCTGGGGTGGCCATCCAGCCTTACTTCGAATTATCAGGGTGCTCTTTGCTGCTGGGAACAGGATCCTGGGAGGGCAGCCAGGGTTCTCCCATCCTCTGCAGGAAACTGGGAAGGGAAGTTTAAGGTTTAAGTGCCTCTTGGTTCCAAGGATTGCTCCCTGAGCTGCAGCTGCCCCCTGAACTGCAGCCCCATTATCCTGTTGAAGGAACTCCTCCCCCAGCCATCTCCCCTGCAGGTGGAATGACTTTGGGAGAGAGGAAGGTTCCCCCCTCGCTGTTTCCCTCCTGCTGTGTCACCAGCCCGTGGAGACAGGATTTGGTGTATCCCATGGTTTCTGTAAATATTTTATTGTTCCATTTTATATTTGTATTCTATTTAAGATATTACATGTAGCTTGGTCACCTCGCCCTGCCTGTACCTGTGTCTGTGCTCAGCTCCTGCTGTCTGGGTGTGTTTTGTGGAAGTAATTGTCACTGAGGGACACACTGAGGGGCTGGAGGTGTTCAGAGGGTTGGAGCACCAGGAGAATCTGAGGGAACTGTGGGGGCTCAGCCTGGAGAAAAGGAGGCTCAGAGGAAGCTTCTCCCTCTCTCCAGCTCCCTGCCAGGAGGTGCAGCCAGGTGGGGTCAGGCTCTGCTCCCGAGTTCTGTGCCTGTGGAAACTGAGTTTGGGCCTCAGGAGGAATTTCTCCATGCAAAGGGCTGTCAAGTGCTGGAAGTGTTGAAGAGGTGTCTGGATCTGGTGCTGGAGGATATGGTTTAGCGTGAATGGTTGGATTTGATGATCTTAGAGGTCCAGGGCTGGGACAGGTTCAAGTTCACCCCAGCAGGGATGGGAGGGCCTCTGCCCTGGGATGGGATGGAGGTTCCTGGTTCTGACCTGAGATTGGGTGGAGGTTCCTGGTTCTGCTCTGGGATGGGATGGAGACCCTTAGTTCTAACCTGGGAAGGGATCTCAGAATCATTGAGCTTGGACAACACCTCTGACATCATCAAGTCCAACCCAGAACTTAATACCACCAGATCGACAA